ACCTGCGCCCACACATTGTAACAAATCCTTGTCCTCTTCCATCACGATGTCCACTGATGCGCAGCCGGTTTGTCGGTCATTGCCCTGATTGTTCCCGTACAATCGCTTCCAGAGCTCTTGCCCAGTATGTCTGCGGGCATTCTCAATTGCTTTAGACTTCAACTCATTCAGCGCTTCACGCTGAGTTTCAGTCAGCTCTGCCTGTGCCTTGCGCTTGTCGGCTTGATCGCCGCGTGAGCCAGTCAGCAGCTCTCTGATGTATCTTTCGTAGTCATCTCCAGACTGGCGTCCTGGAACCAAGATCAGTTTGTCTGCAAGACACAACAAGTACCCTCCTTGCGATTCTCCGCTTTCGCGTGTACCCCAACCGGCATCAGAAATGCACACAATGCACCAGCGATCAATCGGAACGTGGCTTGGATACCTCAAGGCAATTTTCTGCTCCTTCATTTCACGCAAGGCCTTATTATACAAGGTGACATGGGATACAGTCCCCTTATCTTGAACGCCCTGCAGGTACGAAGCAAGAAACGACTGATCGGGTCGGGTGCTATGTGCTACCCATGCGAGCTGTCCAGCACAGGCTTTAAGCATTCGAGGATCACGCAACGGAGTACTGGCATTCCCGAGAGGTTTGGTGTGCACAGGCTCCATGGCATCTATATATGCCTCCTGATCTACTTCGATTACATACGACTGGGGATCCTGCCTGATCTCAACTCCCGTGTATCGAATCGTGAAGGTCCGATAATCACCAAAAGGAAGTTTCTTACGAAGTTGGGTGAGGACAGCATCCATCTGAGGGGATCCTCCACCTATGATATCGTCAACATGAATACCACAGATTCCCAACAAGGTATTACCCCTACGAAGGTAATAAATGCAAGGGTCAAGCTCTGACGGGGTCAGTCCAGCGGCACGAAGTTCTCGGGTAAGCCTGGGCTTCAGCTAGCCCGTAGGCTGCCTTTTCGAGGCGCATCAAATCACGACTATCAAGGTTCATCCACTCCTTGATTTCGGGAGGTGGCCTGAAGTACACATTTCTGCACGATGGGTCTCCTGACAAGAAAGCTGTCTTAATGTCAGCACCCCACAGTTTCCAACTCTTTGCGGCACACACAGAAAGGATTAGACTGCGACTCTCCTGACGCAATGTGGGAGCATCAGTGGCAATCCTTCCAAGCTCTGGGTCTTGCCACCCGATGAGCACAAGGCGAGCTTTCGGGGTTCGAGTCTTATCATCGGGGTCTGAGGATTTTCCAAGTCAGTACCCAGCGTGCACGGATGATGCGATCGGTCTCGATGCCACGAGCCTTTCAAATGGAGGTTACCTTATTCTCGATCCAAGAGTTCCACTCTTTTTGCATGGCTGCTAAAAACAAGGGCTTTTCACTAGGTGAGAGCTTGCGGAAGCTGACCTCGACTCTCCTTTGCTTCGCTCTTGGCACTTCGACATGACAGCACTCCTCAAGGATGGGCCACAAGCACATGGGAGTGTCTGTGATGTCCTCTGGACGGACGTCCAGCGAGATTTCACAGGCGAAAGCATCACACAGGGAATGAGTCTGGGACTTGGTTACACAAAACTGCTCATCCTCATCAGGCACAGGAACATCAACCGCACTCGGTTCTACACCCATAGAACTTGGTGGTATTGCCGGTTCGGGCTGATCTACTTCTGCTGGGCCTGCGGATGAGTCTGGAATGGGCGTATCCTGCGGTTGCTCATCCATTGGTTGATCTTCGGGAGGTGCAACACTTGGAGTATATTCAGCTGAGGGACTCTCCTGTGTATCTATCCTTCGAGATTGATTTGGTGGTTCTTGCACTTCCTGAGATGGTTCTGCAACACGCTTGGTACCCCAACGATCTTCTTCCATATTTTCAGGCAATTCCTGAATACTACCCAAAGGAGGGGCTCCGTGACTCCGGGACTTCCAGTAAGGTCTGAAGCCTACGGGCCTTTGGGGGAGGCTGCATATCATCAGAATCATCGTTTTCTTGATTTTCATCTGAGAGTTGGAAGTCTTCATCATCGGGAGCATCCTCGTAAAGGTCGACGTATTGGCCTGCCTTGGAATCAAGCGTAGCCTCGGCTTCCTCTATGTCGGGTTGCAACCTACCTTCACAGAGTTCTTTGGCTAGGTGCCTGATCAGGAGAACACTTATAGAGGTAACCGGACCATGCAACCCAAAGCACACGGGGCGTGACGGAGTCAGAGAAACTCTCCGTCCCGATGATTCGGCCTGGGCCTAGCCACACTCCATGCCGAGTGGAAAGCAGTCCCCTACTTCTCCTACGGAACATGTACACAAGTTGGCCAACGGTGTATGGACCGTGCATGGGCCTACTTTTACCTACAATGGCTCTGCGCCAGGTATCTTTGGCATGTTCTTCAATGAAGGCTTTGGCTGCTTCCTCCTGGACACGGACACGTTCGGCAAAGTCTCGCTCAGTCAGAACTTGGCTCTGGCTGGCGAGGTTGGATTGCTCGCCAATGTCTCTTAGGAGACCGGGATGCTTGGACTCACGGCCTAAGAACCACTGACACGGCGAGAAGCCACACCGGCGAAGCATTTCATTGCGTGTAGTGGCACACATTTCTATTACTTCATGAGCCGGCCTACTTGAGGTTCTCCAGACTCTTTGAGCCATGTTACGCAAAACACGATTGGCGATCTCTACGCGTCCAAGCTGCCAATGACTTTCAGTGGCTGAACTGAGCAGCTGGATTCCCATATGACGAAGGTATCTCTGGAAACTACGACTCATCCAAGTCCCATCCGGATCAACATACACAATGCTAGGGGCTCCATACGGTCGCACCCATACCTGATGAAGTGCATCCTTTGCTTGGTCAGGACCACTGGGCAGGATGATCTGCTGAGCGAAATCGGTTGCCAGGTCAACACAGGTGAGCACTTTGAACTTTTCTTCTCGGATGGAGCCATCCGGCGACTCACGTTTGAGCTCCATTTGAACGCAATCCATACCTACAATTTCATTAGGTTTTTCCGTATGTGAGATAGTGGTCTTACGTCTCAAGGGTGGCACCTTGAGTTCCTCACAAACTGGACACTTGAATTTCTTGATTTCTTTCTTCAACTGCTGGCTGACCTGACATCGGTTGGCGAGACGGAGCATCTGCTCCACACTGGCATGACCAGTGTTCACGTGCAGGCGTCTGATGAGTGCTTGACGCCGACGTTTTTCGCGGGTGTCGCCCTCCGAATTGGAGGCCTGCTCGGGGGCTTCGGCTTCTGAATCGCCCTCCGAATCAGCGGGTTCGGTGAGAGCATCGGCTTCTGGCTCATGCTCGATTGCCAGCACTGGCCACTGCACAGGCGATGGTTGGCTCCTCAAAAGGCCTTTTACCAAAATGCGGCACATGGGAGTGGGATACTCCTCTGCATACTTGGTAAGATTCTTACCTTTATAGGTGCCTTCCAGGCGTGCATGCGTGTGGTGCTTGGGGCACCTGTGTGGAAGCAGCGTCTGAGCAAACTGCATGGATGTAGTTACAAGACGTGTTGGCTTTAACACAGGCATCTTTGTCTTGGGACACACCACGTGCATAGCACATTGATCTATGACTACATCATAAACAGGACCCAAACGGACTTCCTGCCACGCTAGTGACGATTGAGGGCTCTCTGCATGTGAGTGTCCTCCTAGCTGGGTTTGCAACAACCAACCATCTGACACCATCTGCAGATACCGGCGGGCAATCTGACCCTCGAGGCGGATATTCTCCTCCATGCTTGCTGTTTTGGCTGCGTTAAGCCTGGACCAAGGACCCCAACACTTGCATGGCCATGAGTACCAAACGTGCTTGGGTTTCACTATAGCAAGCAACTGGATGAAGAGCTGCCTATCACGGGGCTGACCGTATTCCAGGCCTAGACGAATGCATGGCATGCCTGACTGGGCTTCCATTACCCTTGACAAGTTGGCCTTACCTGTGAACACCTCTATCATACTTACAGAATGATCTATCAGGGGTGCCTGGTGGCCTAACCATAATCTTAGATCCTTGAGCACGGATGTACGCTCATCCTCAAGGCGTGTCAGGGCAAGCTGCAGATGCACACATCTAAGCTTATGCGTGGCACACTGGATAGCCAGGATGGATTCTCCGGCCAGGGGCTTGAAGTCTACCGTGGACCAATCATGATCTTCATACAAACTCTCAAGTGAGGGACCTGATGAGACCTTGGAATGATCCTGTGCCTGGACAGCCAAGTTACAATCTTCACCTACAGTTTCACTAGATATTTCACTTGAAGAATGATCACTACACATGGCCACAGCAGCTTCGCCCTCTGAACATGAATCCCTTGACGACACGGCTTGAAACACGAACAGAGCGAGCTGAGACCGTTCACACTCAGCACGTCGAGCACCTGCGGGGCGTTCGGTCCAAGGCGACACATGGAATACGCCCTCTTTGTTGAGGCTTGCAACTGACCTTTTGACAGCATTATCTCTGGCTTCTGAAGGTATCCTCTCTAACCTAGGGTTATATGCAACAAAGGCATGAGTGATATTATTGGCCAGGGATTTACCATACAAGGTTGCAAGTTCATCACGATGCACATCAACTTGCACGGTGCTACTTTTAGTGTTTTTAGCAATGTGCTGGAGAGCTCGTCTCCGATCACTGGTTGATGGCTTTTGGGCAGTTTCGCGCCTTGACGGAGTGCGCGGTTTGCCTGGCTGGGAAGTCACATCACGTCCAGTGTTGGACTCACCTTCCCGGACACACTCGGAGGCTGCTGGCTCCGGGTCGACCAACTTCTGATTGACTGATTCACAGAGAGGAAGCAGCAGATGGCCATTGGTGGCCTGTCGCAGAGGTTCCTGATGCATTCCGTGCTTCTCGCTGGTGATGGTCATGTTTCCGAGGTCGATCGAGGCTTTCATGCCTTCGAGCACTCTGCGTGACAGCAGGAAAGGCGTGTCACCCGGAATTGTGTATGTGGTGACGTTGCCCCACAACTTACCCAGGCGTACTGTCCAACGAAGACCAGCTGTGGACCCAGTCTTCTGACCAGAGCTTCGCGGGAGGATGCAGCTGCACCAGGATCGCGAGGAGCATCTCCGGTGTCCTGTACCACTGTTGGCGTCCTTGACGGAAAGGACGGAACATGCGAGGGTGGACGTGGTGGATCTCCAGGTTGTGATCCATCACTCACATCCACACTGGAATCATCAGTTGGCTCCTTGCCAGTGCGCTGCCTTTTGCGCTTGCGCGCCAGAGCTCTCTCCTGCGTGATGAGGGATTCCACACGCGCCAGCTGAGTCCGGAACCTGGATGTGAATGCGGTGGCTCCTTCGTTAGCTCGGCGTTTCAACAAGAAGAGAAACTCGTCGATGGCCTCGTGCAGCTCGGTTTCCGGGAGAAACTTGTAGTGGGCATCCAAAGCCTCCAAGACTTTGAGCCACCCACCATCTTCGCGAATCTGTGAGATGGAGAGATGCTCCGTGGCCCTCCATGCTTCGCCAGACAGTCGCTGAAGCAGGCGCGGCCCAGCAAGGTGCTGAACCTTGTCTTCCAAACCTGCGACCCCAAGGATGACCTTCCGCCTGAAGTCACGGTAACCTGCAGGGCGACCATCAAACGTCAGGTCCTTGAAGGGATCGCGGTTGTCCATGCCTGGCAAACTGCAATGCCAGGCCACCCACACGTGGCCAAAATGGCCACCACCAGAGGTTGGTGATCTTGATGTTCACCTCACCGGCAGCGCCGGTCTTCGAGACCCGAGGTCTCGGTGCACTGATTGCACGGCTCAAAGTGCGCTGATTGCACCACCCAATGAGCAGATCACACCTGCTCCGCTACCATGATCGAGCGCGGGAGCACTCTATGTTTTGTCCTAGCCGGCGAGCGGCTCAAGGGCCCTGGTGGCAGCGGATGATCCAATCCATGTCATGATGGCATGTTTCACACCTATCCCCCCCCCCCTCCCCCCCCCACCCCCCCGCACCCGACGGCCCGCGAGGTTCAAAGGAGAGCTTCGAAAGGCCACCGGCCCGGGGCTCACGGCTTCGGGTCCGCAGGGTCGTTCGCGGCCATCCGGTTCCTCAGCTTCTTGGGCTTTCGGCGGTTGGGGGGGAGCGTCGTGTCTGGGGGCGTTCGCAGCCTGAGCAATTCAGGGGTTTTAGTGGGGATGTGCCACTTGACCCGCTGAAAGTGGAACTTTTAGCAAAGGAGCTGAGGACAGACCAGCACGAAACAGCACGGGGAGGGGGGAGGGGGAGAGTATCCACCAAGAAAAAGGGGGCAACCTCAAAAAAGGGACAGGTTCTGGTGTTTCTCTTCTTCCGTGTTTCTTGGTTTTCGTGCTTCGTCCGACGTCATTTCTGTTGACGATCAGCCGATTGGTTGGTTGATCCGTTGCTTGGCCGCTTGGGGTCGCATGTCGCTAGACTCAGAAAAAGCAGCAAACACCCATTTGGGCAGCCAAGTGATCTTGGCTTCCTATTTTACTACTACCCCCCGCCCCAAGACTCACGTCTGTTAGCTGCTGCATTTCTTTTAACTCCGTTTGTAGTCAATGGTTGACATGATGCCCTATCATATATCCTGAACATGTGGGTGTGGCTACGGGGGTGGAACTCACTATTTTGCAGCCTATCATTTGACTTAGCCAGCTCGATGCAGCAACCAGAAATCATATGAGATGAAGGGGGGCCGTTTTTTTTTTCTGCTTGAGGGCTAGTGCTGATTCTGTTTTGGACAGCTCACCCAGGGTTATCACTGGCTCGCTATGTAGTTTTGGAATAGTAACATTGTGCAGAATATGTGGTCTAGGTATCAAATGCCCAGTGTTGGTGCCCTTGCCGCTTGGATTCCTACAATCACCATTTACCTAAGGATGTCATCTAAATTGGGTCCTTGCCATTCTTTTATTGGGGGTTGAAACCTAGAAGTAGATGTTGGAAAAGATTGGTTTCCGTGGTCCTTTTTAAGTCAAGGTTCAACATGATACCCTTGAAAAGTGGTAAACGCATTCGGAGCGGAACGGGCAAACCTCCAGCGGCTGGCTTCCCCCGTTTCGACACACCCGCACAGGGACCCCATTGGTTGACTCGACAGAGCCCGGAATTGGCGCCACTTTCTGTTGGTGCACCCCCAGGAAGCTCCGAACACGGGGGGGGGGCAAACGCATTTTTTCCCCGAGAGTTCGGGGCATCGTTTTTAAGTACCGAAAGTTCCCAGGCGGGGGCATTTTCCAAGCTTTGTACCGCTGTTGCGTGGCAACTGGTGGTCTTCTGTTCGGGCACCTGGACCCAAAAAAATAAAATAAATAAAGGGGTTGCCCAAAACGGGCCGAATTCCATGCTTTATAAGGGTAGCTTGAGGGCACAGGCATTCATTTCTGCGGCTCTTTGCGGTATTTTGGCTTATTCGACCCACAGCACCGATTTTGTTCTACGCTCCTCCCACGTGCTCGATTTTCTTGCGGCCGGTCGTGCAAACCACACCTCTCTCACTCACAGCCACTACCACGCCAGCACCCCCCAAGCCACCAACAGCCCCAACATGTCCGCCAGTTTCGTTTTAGGGCATCAACTGCAGAACTTCAGAACCACACATCTGCCAACATACTCCAAATTTGCAGCCCCTTTTGGGAACACCTCCAAATCGCGGACGAGACGCGCACAGCTGGCCGCCACCCGAACCGTTTTCGCCCCACGCCGCCGATGGCGGTGGATGAGAACTGCAGCCGCCTGCTGACGCGGCATGGGCGGTGCCTCAAGGCGGCCTCCTTCGATGCGCAAGAGGCCGGAGAGGGCCACGGGTATGGAACTCGTTTTTTTTTGCCTCAGCTCCCTCCAGTGGCTTGGTGCTTAAGGTGGTGGTTTGGTGGTGAGACGGAGGGGTTTCCCAATTTACCCCTTACTCCAAATGCCAACGCCTTTAAGCAGTGGGTATTTTTGGGAGAACCGATCGGTTTTCCATGGTAAATACCACACCTGTTTTAGTAGAGGGTCGACATGATACACTGCAAAAAGAGGGTAATGGAGTAGGGGGTGTAGCAAAAGGTCTATTGAGACATGTTGGCCCTGCGGTTCCATGCCCCCGTTAAAAGAATGGCCCTGGGACCCAATTTGGAGGATGAAAAGCCTTAGGTAAATAATGGCGGTTCTATAAACCCCATTGTTTTGGTGGCTTGAACCTCTAGAATGGAATCAACCCCTGATTTATTTATTTTTTGCGTCGCCGCCTTGGGAAATCCGACCCGACCCCTCACCCTGGGCAAACCAAAGCCGGACCCAAGACCGGCGAGGTGGCCAACCCAAGTCCGAGCAACGGAAGCAACGGAGAGCCCCGAGGCCTGCAAGACACGGAAGCCCTCGCGCACCCGCACCGCTGCGGACGGAAGCGGCCTGCGCCGTTTTTTGCCCTCCGCGCATGCGCTGCTGCGCTGGCCCCTCTTCTTCTGCGCCTGCCTCGTGATCTCCGTGGTGCGCCTGGGGCCAGAAAGTTGCGGAAATCCGTTGATTCCCTAACAATAGATTCCTCTAGAATCTCATCCATGTTACCTTTCACTTCCTCGCTCGTTATCCATTCCATTCCTATCTCGCTCTCACTCCATTTGGATACATGTTTTGTCTGAGGTACGAAGGAAGCCCAAGAATCCAGATGGAGAGAGAAAACCAACGAGGAACGAGAATAGAATGAGATGAGGAACGAGATGAACCGAGATGTAGAGGAGACACTGCGGGGGCATTTTCCCCAAAGGTCCCTCTGCAAATGTTGGGGCTGTTTGGCCCAGAATGTTTGATGTACCCTCTTTGGGAACCAACAGATTTGATTGCTTTTCTCGGACCCCAGGTTTTTTAAGGGGACGCAACCCCAGCTTGCATCAAAGGTTGCACTGCGGGCACCCAAGGAACTCATGTTAGAACCTCTCTCACGGGTCAGCCAAGTTTAGGGTCGCACGGCTTCATCACCTCTTGATCAATCCCATGGGGCCTCAAACTACCATCAACTTCACGCCCAAAGTTTTTGGGTCAACTTGGGGTCTGTTTTTTTTGGGGGGGTTTTCTGGTGGAAAACCCCAGATCGCCAAGTTGTTTTTTCGCTTTTGTCAGTGACTGCGATCGGTTTTTAGGATAAAGTCCATGGAAAAAAGCGATCGCTTGCCTGGCGATCCAGGAACTTCAAAAAAGGGGAATTCACGCCCAAAGTTGGGGTCAACTTGGGGCAACCCATTTGTGTGATGCTACCTATAGGTCGCATTAGGTCGCCAGTTTCTGCTTTTCGTCCATGAACTTTACCCCAAAAACCGATCGCAAGTGACTGGAAAAAGCGATCGCAGCTTGGCGATCTAGGTAGTTGGAGGGAGGGAACCGCTTCACTTGGCAAACCTTCAAGGCTCCACCTCTACTTCGCCATCCGCGCCTTGATCCACGCCTCCGAGTGGCTCTTCGCGCCCTCCGCCACCCGGCGCGCGCGCCGCGCCATGCTGCGGGCGCACAGGCGAGGTGGGCAGCATTTTTCTGGGCGGGGGGGGGGGGATTTGAGACCCTTAGGTTGGGGGTGTTACTTATTTTTGTTCATGGTCAGCATGTTTAGAGGTGTGATTTTGATCGGTGGGTTTGGCGAAGTTTCACTGGCTCAGATGGGTTTTGTTCCGTTTACCAGGGAAGCCCATTAATTTGTCGAACACAAATACACCTAAGACCCTGCAAAGAAGGTTAGGTTGGCGGCAATTAGGGGCTTCACAGAATATCTTGTCTTTTTGGGCTGGCAAGACTTATGAATTATGAGACTACCTGGACCCTCAAATTACACATAAAAATTGGATATCACCCCATAATTTTGGGGGTTAAACCCAGTTTTAAGGGAATTTTGAGGGTTCAGGTATAGGCATGTTGGTCGAGTCGCTTTGCTCAAAACTCGGAAGTTCCTTGATCAAAGCCAACCAATGAAGCATACTCTGGGCCCTGCGGACCCAGAGTGGATATGTTTGTCGCGCTATTGACACCACTCGAGGACTTGCCCTTATCCCCCTACTCCAAATACCCACTCTTTTTTGTTGGGTATTGTTTGAAAGAACCAGGGTCCCTTTTTAGTAAAGTGGCAGTGGCTCAAAATTAAAGCTAGGGTTACGCGGGTTTTGGTCCATGTGTCCACTTACCAGGGTTCCACTTTGGTACCGGTTTTTTGAGCCATACCCAAGTGTTGACATCATACCCTAGGGAGGGCTTCTGCTTTTGCAGTGGGAGAGAGCGCTTCCAAGGTGTGCCTCCTTAGTGAACGGCAAGGTGTATACTTTCTCACTCCAGTTTCGGGACTTTAACTAGGTCCCCCAGCGATAGGTGCCCTTTCTCACCCCTTTTTTGGGGAGAGGGTTCCCCTATGAAAACAGACTATAGGAAAAAAATATACCCGTATTCTAACCTCTCTACTAAAGGACCTAGTTAAACTTTTTGGGACAACCATAGTGGGAATTATATGCCTGGTCACTTTTCTTTGGCGTTCCCCCACCCAAAAGGGTGCCAAGGCTGTTTTCCATCCGTCTCACTCGCAACTGGTTGAAACATGGAAGCTAGGTTTTACTCGGATCAGTATTTTGACTTGGGTGCCATCAAAGTGAGCTGGAATTGTTGCCAACTACTTTAGGGGGTGACTTCGAGTAGATACTAGCGATATGGCAACCTGAACCCTCAAACTACTCATCGAATTGCGTTATTGCCACCCATGTCTATGGTTTTACAACAAAAAAAAGAAAAGAACAGGTGAATTCACCCCATCATTTCTTAGGCCAATTTGATCCTCGAGTGTTTGAGGGTCGAAGCAGTTCGTCTCCGCCGCCTCTCGCAGGCCCGAGGAGTACACGGCTGCGGCCCAGGCCTTGGATCAGGCCAACGGCCTGGAGGAGAACACGCCGATTCGGGGATTCGATGCGGCGGCTTTGCTTAGCTCTGAAAAACACCAAGCTGTTCTCCTCTTGGGCTTTTTTTTGGCTTACCTTGCTTACCTTGTTCTCCTCTTCTCCTCTTGCTTACCTTTTTGGGGGTAACATGGGCTTTTTCTGTTTGTAAAAGATGTTTTTGGGGGTAACATGGGCTATTTGTTTGTAAAAGATGAGAACTTCCCCAGGAAGTTGGGAGTTTTTAGGGGTAAGTTTGTGCTTTGTGCGTGGCCGGAGGCTTTGAGCGCCCGGAACAAACCACGCGGATCGATCTCCTAGACCGAGTCTTGGTGGGTGCAAAACGAAGCTATTCCCATGGGATGTGCATCGGAAGGGGTGTGCCAAACGACGCCCCGGAAAGAGTTGAGATCCGGGCAGGCCCCGGAAAGAGTTGAGATCCAGAGGGGTGGGAGAAAACTTGGATTCGCTGTGAAAACGGAATGGATGGGTGACCGGGGCGGTTCACCTCAAATCACCATTTAGTTCGGAGGATATGAGTTTAGTGCACCTTGTTCCCGGAATTTCTACTTGTGGGGTTTGGACCACTTTCGTGGCAGACAACACGCTTGTTTCGTCTGACCAACCCACTTTGTCAACTGGGTTCCGGTTCCCCTTTGTTTCCCTTTCAATTCAGCAAAGACAAGCGTTGCGCTTTGTGTCCGTATGTGTGTTTTGTTTGTTTTTCCTGCTTTCTTGTTTGGTTTCTTGCTTGCTGCTTGTTTGGTTGCTTGCTTGGCTGCGTGCCTCTTTTCTTGCTTGGTTGCTTGTTTGCTTCAGCTTGTTTTCAGTTGACTTCAGGCGATTGGATTGGAACTGATGGAGCCTGTCGGGTCCTTCGTGTCACCACATCGGCTCTTGCAGCACACCTTACAAAAGGTCGAACGACGTTTTGCCAGACATTTTCGGGCCGATGATCTCCACTAAGCCCACAAGAAAAAAGGCGTCATCGATCAGGGCTGGGGAGCATGTCATGCCAGGAGTGGAAGAGTCGGCCGCAGTCCCGGTACTACGCCTGCGAGGCGGGGGCTTGAGTCCGTTAGGACTTGCGCCCCTCCCCATAGTCCCCCCTCCCTGATATCAAAGGCCGCACCTCAATGTACTCAAACATACCTCCTACTCAAACTACCCAGCCGCCTTTTTCAGTTGGCATGTTTGGGAAATCCGAGAGGTTTTGCATGGTTTCATGCCAGACCTTTTTTAGTAGTAAGGTCCACATCATGCCCTAAGAAAAGGCCGGGTATTTGGAGTAGGGGGTGTGCTGTGCAAAGGCTTGGGCTGAACCAAATTGCTTTTCCGAGTTTGTGCACTTGTCGAAGGTGGCTTTCAAGGAACCAAACAGCAAACCCACCATGTTGGGTGTAGGTTGGTAGATTGTTCAGAGGCAATCCTCAATCCATGCCCAGAGCCCGTAGATAACGGAAGGTGCAAGAGAAAGGCATAAAAAGGCGGTCTTGCAATCTATGAATTGAAGAACTCATACCTGGAAACAACCAACCAGGCAGGCAAGCAACCAGCCAACCAGCCAACCAGCCAACCAGCCAACCAGCCAGCCAACCAACCAACCAACCATCGCCTCAAACCAATTGAAATAAAATCCTTAGGTCAATGTTAGATAGCCTTTGCACAGTTTGAGGGTCCAGGTACCCCTTTGGCCCTTGGGAGGTTTTGGCCTCGGTGCTGGTGGAGATTGTGGAGGCGCGGGAGCACGCGAAGTGGCCCAAGCTGATGCGAGTGCTGCAGAAGTGCCTGCAGGCGTGGGGCCGAAGAAGTGGCACCGCTTGCGAGACTTGGGCTACTTGATTAATCGGCTTCCTATGATGAAAATGGGACAAACATGGGTTACACCCTCCAACTACCCGCAAAAAATGGGTTGCCCCGAACTATGGGGTGATTTCCTCTTAGTTATGGCCTCCCAAAATAAGATAAATGGGTCATTACCCCAAAATGATGGGTAGTTTCTTCGGGTCAAGGTTGCTACCTCTTTGGTTCTCCTGCATGCCCCCATTTTGTTTGGCGGGCAAAGTGGAAAAGCCCAGAGGGTTACTAAGAAATTCATCGCGCCCAGAGGGGATCAGGGGTGGGGGCTTTGGTTTTTTTTTTGACTGGGTTTGTGCAAACGACATCCTGAATCCTTACCTTGGGATACAAGGACCCGGCGCCCTTTGTAGTGGCTTCCCTAAAGCAGAACTCTTCAAGATCAGATTGGCCAAGCCTCCACTTTCAACCGCCCAGATTTAACTTCTGCCAGGACGTGAACTATGCAGGGCACTTGAACGAGCTGCTCTATGCCAAAAGCTTCACCGGCACCAAACACCTGAAGCTTGGGCTTGATCAGTTGCAACCAAAGCGAGCCGACCGATCGAAATGACCTTTGGGTTGCCCTGATTGTCAATTTTTAGTCATGGCCCCAAACGCTTCACCTTCAATTTCTGGATCCTTGAAAGCAAGTGACTGTGTGAACATGTGGGGAGTGGAAGCCACAAGCGCATCTGAGCTTCCTGGACCCTCAAGAGCTACCTACAAAAACGTGGAAGCCACCATCCATAATTTTAGGGCAGCATGCCTCAAAGGGTAGATTGAGGGTCCGGGTTTTGGTTTGAATAACCAGCAAGATCCAGAAGGTGACTACCTTTTGTTAGGGCCAAACTGGGCAAGTGACTCCAAACACGATTGTGAACTTGTATGAAGCCCTGGACTGGAGGACCGTACTAGTCAGAGGAACCCCCTCAAAATAGGTGATTGTGTGACTTCAAGGGGTGACTCAACCTTTTGTCTTCCAAGAGGATCCGCAAAAAAGGGCCCTTCTTGATTTTGCTCGTGGTTTCAAAGGAAAATCAGCCAAAGACCTGCTTTTGTAGGGCCCTGGATGATCTAATCTGAAGTTAACATTTCCCTCGAGACACACACACACACACCTTCTGGTTGAGAAGCCTAAGGCTAGCTTGGATCAGTCTGTTTGGTGCTTGGGTAGGGCAGATGGTGATCAAGTTGAGAAACAAACAAACATTGATGTGATCCAACTATGGCAAAAAGGGGTTTGCACCTTTGGGCAGTTAGCATTTGTGTCCTGTTGGTTGCTTTCGTGGAAGATGACGCTGGTTGACCGGGTTGTTTCAGAATCTACCACAACCATTTGTTTCCCATAGCTTTTTTTGGGACTGGCTGACTTTCTGCGGCATTGCTTTGGTCGCATTGGTGTTTCCCCTCACTCCAAACACTCGCTTTTTGTCAGGGTACTTGTTGGACAATCAAGCGGATTTCCAGGTTTTGTCAAGGTATTTGGAAGATCGGTCGGTTTTTCAGGGCAACTACCAATCCCTTTTTCAGTAGAGGGTTGACATCACACCTTGAAAGAGGTCCCTCACAGCGGAGCGACGATCCTCGTGACGATCCTGGAAAAATAAAACGTTGGTGTTTGGTGTAGAGTTCTGTTCATCCCTTTTTTCAGTAGAGGCTTGACAGGGTTGAGATCCTACCCTGCGAAAAACGTTGGTATTTGGTCTGGATATTTGTTCTTTTCCTCGACATCATACCCCGAGTAAAACGTTGGTAGTTGGTCCGGAGTTGTTTTTTTTCTCAACCAGCAACCAATCCAAGGATTGAGGACTACTGTGAAGCAGTGGCCGGTGGACTAGAGGATCTGCGGCAAGAGGCCGCGTCCGCGTCCGCGGACGCGATGTTTGGTGGCTTTAGATGTTCAGTACACCTTCCATTGGCAGAGATGAATATTTAAATATTGCTGACCCCTGTCAGGTTCCATGTTAATTGGACATATTGTCACCTTTTCCTGGAGGCTGAATCAAATGGTGGACACACCCAAGCCTTTTCGCAGTGTATGATACGGTATGTCAAGGATATCCGTATAGTTACAGGAAGCGCTATACTTACACTGGAAGCACCTTCCTTGGTATGCCTCGACTTGTTTGGCGGATTTGGAAAATCCGTAATTCACGAACCCCCTACCAAATCCAACACGTATATATGCTGGGTACCAAGGCACCCCTTCCGGTTAAAAGCGTGAGACTGGCTCTTTACCCTCCAAACTGTCACATTTGGAGATCGCTCACCTGACTTTGGCAGGCGCTTTGGCGCTGACAATGGAAACCCAAGCGCAGAGCAGAGAAACGACGGAGAAATCCAGCGTTGCCCCTCTCACCCCCCACAACCAGCTTTCCGTTCTCGAGCAAATCCCGGGTTTCAGGTGCGCAAGGCCAACGACACAGACGACAAGGACTTCCTGGCCGCTGGGGAAAAACTCACTCCCCCAGTTCCTGAACACCCTAACGTGGAGGGACGAACTCCTGCACCAGCTCAGGAAACCCTGGAATGATGGGTCCCCTGATGCCAACAATGGTTCAACCTTTGGTGCATCTTTGGGAGTTTGACCTTTGGAAGACGTGGCAAAAGCTTGGGCTCGCCAATGGAAGTGAGCGTCGAATCGCTCCTGCGGGGGAGGGGGGGAAGCCCAAACAAGCCCTGTTTAAGCCCCCAATCCCCCTCCCCCTCCCCCTCCCCCTCCCCCTCCCCCTCCCCCTCCCTCCCCTCCCTCCCTCCCAGCCCCCATGATTCTTGGCCGAAAAATTGGACGCTCGCTGGCCGAAACGCTGAGGCGGCTGCCCAGCGTTTCACGGAGCTCTCGGTGTGTACCTTGGGCCGCACCGCGCCCCAGGCAGCAACTGGCCGTTCCGCGAGGGTGGGGGGGGTTGCGGGGGTTGACCAAAAGGGCCGGTGAAGGGGGTGGTTTCCCACTTACCCTTTACTCCAAAGACCCTCTTTTTTCAGGAAAGGAGGTATTTACTATGGAAAACCCGTTTAAAAAAAACAAAAATGAAACAAGTGTGTATTTTGAGCGGTGGTTCAAATCCAAATCCAAACCACCAATAAAAGGGAAGCGGATAAACCACAGCGCCATGGTAAATCACGGTCAATACTTTGGGGGTTGACCGAAAGGCCCTTTGAAAACATGGGATTGCCCTTGGAGGGGAAGCCAGAACAACTATTTTTTTTTCAAGCACATGGGAAAAGTGACATGCATGGTCAAAGCTGGGGGGCCGGGAAGATCAACCCATGTTTTCGTCCTGCGCTTTTGGAGTGGGGGGGCCCGAAAAGGGGCTCATGGGGCCTTCAAGGGGGCTTCAAGTGTATATATTTTTTTAGGCCACATCAGAATTTGGTACCCCTCTTCCCAAGTCTTGAAATTTTGCGGACTTCGGAGACGTGAGGACTCCCCTACTCCAAACCCACCGTATTGGGTACCAACCCAAAGCTTAAGCTCCTGACATGGAGCTTTTGGGCCTTGGGTGTCAGTCGGATTTTTCCTAGGGTATTTTCTTGAGCGTCTGGGTAAGAAAGTTGCAGGCACCTAAAAAACACCAGTTGCGATCGATTCTTTTCTTCATGAACTTTACCCCAAAAGCCGATCGCGACAGTGACTGGAAAAAGCAGTACTTTGGCTATCTAGTTTTTTCTGGGTGTTTTTTCCTGGGAGAACGGCAACGAAAACACCAGCCATTGGTCCGAGGCGCTGTGTTTGTCCGGCGGGGGAGCCATGGCCTTCCAGCACTTCGGGGTGGTGGAAGAGCTGCTGCCCCTCAGCGAAAACCGCCGAAAACGGAGCCAACAGAGATGTTGAAGCTTGACTTGGGGGTACCCTCCCACCTGGATCCCCAAGTAGCCACTGTTTTCCAGCCACTTTACCCCCTAGTATTCCATATTGGCAAAAGTAGCTTGAAAGAAGGGAATTCACCCCAGAATGTTAGTGCAATAACCCATGTTGAAGGGAAGTTTGAGGGTGCAACCCTTACTGACCTGTTGTTGAGGGTCAAAAGGAAACATCAGCATCGAAAAAGTTAAAGTCTAAAGATCCAACCCAATAGCAGTAGAGATGGGTTGCCACCCAACATCATGTTGGTGAATTCCAGCTTTTCATGGGTCCTTTGAGGGGTCCACTGTTACTCCCGAGCATCTTAGACCCCTTTCCCATCTGGCCAAAACTGCTGAGCCAAGCCTGGCCGGTGTGATTCGGGATTCGGGATTCGGGGTGGGGGCTTTGTCAGGGTTGGGCCTGGGGTCGATTCCTATATCTCCCCTGTTGGTTGGTGGTTGTAAACATCACCTTTTTGGCTCATGAAAGGTGAGTGTCCCTTGATGGGGGTGACATTTTAAAGGGAAACATAGGGAGCCCTGTTTGTGTTTTTCGACATGTCAATGCGCATTGAATTGGCATTTGGTCACGGTCGGTAATTCTGGGGACTGTGTATGTATTGAACAAGGGGGGAATGAAAACTTGCTTCAGTCTTCCTTCCATTTTTTCCTTTCAAGCCAACAAGAAAAGGGCACCGAGCCTCAAAGACAAGCCCAAATGGTTCAATCGTGTCATGCTCGACTGGCGCATGCTAAAAACATGGTTGTTGTTGGGAAACGTTTTTCCCATTTTTGATCTTATTGTGGCTTAGTGGTTGAAATCCAAATCCACTTAACTGCTAAAACTTGAGAATTGTTTGCTCCCCAAACCCAACGTCAACCAAGAAAAGGTCTACGGTGGATGCCTCGTCCGCATACCCCCGTAACCTCCAAATGCCAACGCCTTTGTTCAGTGGGTATTTTCGGGAAAGCCGAGAAAGGCTTTCCAAGGCAATACCGAAGCTTTTTTGGTAGAGGGTCGACATCATACCCTGAAAAAGTGGGTATTGGGTGTAGGGGGTAAACCAAAACACAACACCAATGTAAACTCAGGTAACTCAGAGGGTGTCCGAAGTAGGAGGTTTGTTGGAATCCTTCACTTTGGAGTGAGTTGCACAACCCCGTTATTAACCCACCAGGTTCACTAGTCCGGTTTCAAGAGGTAACCCTCCAATTTGCCTGCAGCGTGCTATGGTGTTGTGGTTTGTTTCATTTGGTTGGTGTGCTTCCAATATGGGTGTGCCTTTTTTTAAAGGAGTCCCTTTTTCGTGTTTTTAAAGGAGTACTTAAGGAACCGTATAATTTTGGAGGGTCTCGCAAAAAAAACACACCCGTACTGTGAATAGACGAACTCCTGCACCATCTCAGAAACCCTGGAATGATGATTCCCCGGTAAAGCCAATGAACATTGTGGTTTCAGCCATAGTTTCCTGGATGGTGCGATTTCCGGCGTTCGCAACCATGCAGTATGGGATACCCCCGACTCCAAATGCCTGTTGTTTTGAGGGTATTTTCTGGACAGCCGACCGGTTTTCCAGGGTAAATACCGCCATTTTTAGTACCTGGAGTCTCCATGACCCTTTAAAAAAATGGTCCTTGACCCATCTTTAAAGGGTCATGTCAGACTCCAGGGTAGAAGGTCACACATGCCACCCCTAAAAAAATAGGGGTATTTGGAGTAGCTTCGCTGGCATGCTCAGGCGCCGGGACTTGCTGCCCAAGATCATCAGTGGCACCTCCGGGGGGGCTGCCATTGCCGCCTACGTGTGCTGCCGCACGGACGAGGAAACGCCGCCGAAACGCCGCCGAAACGCCTCCGAGATTTAAAGCAAAAAAAACACTGCGGCGCGGGTTGGCGGGTTGGTGCCTGGCAAGCGCGTGGCACCATGCCTGGAGTCTCGTCTATCTACTCAGATACCTACTTTTTCTAGGGTATTTCTTGAACAACCTGGGGGTTTCCATGGTAAATACATCCTTTTTTAGTAGAGGGCCCACGTCATACCTGAAAAAGAAAGTGGGTATTGGGTGCAGTGGGTCTACATGACCCTTTAAAAATTGGTCAATGACCCCATTATTTTGGGTAGTGACCACATTGTTTAAGGGTCATGGAGACTCCAGGTGTGGGAAATTCGGTGTACTTCAGATGGCCAAGACAGGTTGGTCCATCATTTTCGCCATGTTGGGTGCGTTTTTGTTGTTTTTTGTCCTGAGGGTATAGCCCTTTTTGGTAGGTTTTAATGGCAAACCAAAGCGAAAAACATCGTTTTTGGGGGGCTCCCCAGAAGAAGCCGAGCAATTTCGTCATGTTCGAGATGTAGGGCTCTCTCTCTGTTTTGAGGTTTGGTGATGCCTTTTTTCCGAGCGCCAAGCGCCCCAGAAATCAGGATGTTGGCTTTTCTTTGGGAGTCATATCTTGCAACGTTGCAAGAACTTGGAAGTATGGGCCCCTGTCAATGATGTTGACCCCGGATTAATAAAGCCCTGTTTATTATGGGGGTGTCTCCGGTTTGAGTGGGGACTTCTCACTTTTGGAGGGGAAGTTCCCTAATAAACAGGGGTTTATTAATCCGGGGTCAACATTACCCTAAACCGCCAGGTGGCGACTTTCCACGAGTGGGGACAATCTTAGGTCTTGGTGAAAAGCTGTCAAACAGTTTTGGGAAGCGGGGCTGGATAGCAGGTTCCACGAAACTGTGAACGTCGCATGCCGGAAAATGACTTTGGAACTTCAACGAATGGTTTTGAACCTTTCCTGGTTTAGTTTGCCCCACAGCTTCGAACCCCTTCGAACACTCCAGAACCCTGCCTGATTTTTCTCGACTGTATGGCTACTTCGTTGACTCTTGAAGTGCCAACCTTGTCCAAAAGGCGTGTGTGGGTCAAAACTAAACCACCAGGGAACCGCAGGTTTTCGTCATTGTTTTCATTTGCCAGGGTTTCATTTGGCACCTATGTTTGACCCACACCCAGGTGTTAACAAGGACTCTGCGGATGGGAATCCCACGCTTGCATTTGCCACCATCGTCCTGCTGAAATGGTTTGGGTACATCAAAATGGGGATTTGACCCCCACCCAAAAAAAAGGCGCCATGTTTTGTGCCTTGAATCCTACCTGAAACAGGGTACCCTACCTCTGCATGAGCTAGATATGGACAAAGGGAATGCTGCTGCAACCCATGGGGTTGAATGCACCCAAAACCCCCGACTGAGCGGTCAGTCGCTTCGATCTTGGTGCGAAGGTGTGGAGGTGGTAAATTGGCTTCACATGGACCATAGTAAGGCCTACCGGATTCCTCAAACTTCCCAGAATACAGGGGAGTCACCCCATGATTTTCGGGGCAATACCCGGAAATTCCCACAAAATTGGGTATTGCCATGGTATTCCCGTTGATTATGGAGGGCTTTTTGTTGGTTGGCACTTCCCAAGTTTTAGGGTCCAGGCGCATAATTCTTTTTTGGGGGAGATTCGGTTCTTCTACTAAAATAGACTACAGAGAAAAAGGGGCACCCTTCTTCTAACCTCTCTACTGGAGGACCCGGATATCCTATACCTCGGAGAAAAAAATGTGGGTCTTGGATCGTGTTTCCGGGGGCAACTTGTATTGGAGTCTTTGAGCCTCCAGGCTATCCCGTCCTTTGGGCCGCCAGGAGTTGTTGGGCCAAGTGGAGCGCGATCAATCGCCTTTCCGGCGGCTTGGCTTGATGTCCAGCCAGGTTTCTCCCATGGGCTCGTGGTTTTACGGCAAGGGAGGGGCCCCCAAAAAATGACGGGGGCTTCCTTTGGGCTAAAGCGTTAACCGTAGGTGGTCGCTTGTCTTGACTCTTAATAAGTATCCACTTGGGCCACCATTTTGGCTCAAGTGGACCTTTTGATCTTTTGTCTTGTGATTTGAAATCCCGCCCACCCACACCATGGCGGTGACACCAGATGAGTTGGTGGCACCACCACAGGAAGTTCCTGGAGTGTACACGGACGCAGTGGCTAAGCTCCACAAGACCGCCAGGAACCTCATGGTCCTCAAGGGCATCCCGTGGTTCATCCAAGCGACACTGTCGGATGAGGGCTTTGTCTCGATGGAGGACCTCGCGACCCGGTGGGACTCGCCCGACCGTGCAAGGGAGACGGCGCCGGGGGAGTTGGGCTTCGCCCCCAACAACCACCACTACACGGATGTGACCTCCCGGCTGATCGCGGCCCGCATGGACCTTTTGATTTTTTGTCTTGTGATTTGAAATCTTTCTTTCCCCTACTCTCAAAGCCATGTACGCCCCCGCCTACGCTGGTGCCGCGGTAGCAGAGGCCAAGGCTAAGGCAAAGGCCTCCATGGCAAAGTACCTGGCGAGCCTCGTGAAGAGGGAGGAAGAAGGATGGACCGTTTTGGCTGCTGAGGTCCCTCAGGCACCTGACGAGCGTTTCTTCTCCAGCGCAGATGAGCTGGAGCAGGCCCCCCTTATCCCGGCCAAGCGCAAGGCAGAGGATGAGCCGATGGAAGATGCAGCCCCTGGGGTGGCGCAGGTGCCGAAGGCCCTGACACGCCCCCCAGGGGCGTTCCTGGAGCTCCTGAACCCGCCGGAGGAGGACGTGCCCATGGAGGAGCTCCTGGCGAAGGACGAGAAGGAGCTGCCGATGCCCAGGTCCCCCTCGGCTGCAGCCCGCTTGGAGGAGGCCCGCCTGGATGCCCGGGCAGACGCCAAGTGGCAGAGGCGCCGGGAGCTGATGGCGAAGGTCAAGGAGCAGGCGTCCTCGGAGGAGGATGAGAACCCCGCAGCCCCCCCGCCGGGGGGGAGCGTGTTCACCAAGGCCCTCAAGGTCTCGGAGGGCCTCTACCAGTTCAGCGACGACCAGATGGCGGGCGACTTCCCTTGCTTCGATGCGACCACGGCCACTAGGCTCCGCCGACTGCAGGCCAAGGACGTCCAGCGGCTCCTGCGAGGCTTTGAGGGCCCCCAACTCAAGCGGGGGGGCCTGGAGCGCGTTGTGGAGGCCTTCTACATCGCCAAGATGAAGTACGAGCATGAGGCCCGGCTCAGCACCCCGGGACAGCAGGTTGGCAAGCGCGCTGGCTTGGGGTACGGGGGCCTGGAGAACCGCCCCCTGGGCAAGGTGCCCACATCCTGGATCTGCCCCTGCTGCACCATGCCCTGGGTGAAGAAGGGCGCCACGAAGTGCATGGGGTGCGGCAAGAAGACGGAGCCCATTGACACGGCGACCAACTCGGCCACCCTGGAGATGGCGGGCACGCATTGGCAGTTGACGGTGGATGACCAGGGCAATGCGGTCTGGACGGCGGCCCGGTCCGCGGGTGCCGAAGGCCCTGACACGGACCGGGCCCGCGACCTCAAGCTCAGTGCCTCGGTGGACGTCAGCGAGCTGGCCACCGACCCGATGGCCTGCGAGAACCCGGACCAGGCCAGCTTCTCGGACTTCGTCCCCTCCTCGGTCCGGGCGGTGATCAGGAACTGCCCCATGGAGCTGGACGAGGAGTTTCTGACGGCCCCACCGGGGGAGAGGCCCCCATTGCCAGGCGACAAGGAAGAGGGCCAGGAATGCAGAGCCTTCCACCCGTCTGCGGTGAAGGCCTTCAAGATTCAGACCCGGCTCAACGCCACCACCATCGCCCAGGAGGAGGCCAAGAAGGCGGACCAGGTGGAAGCGGTGGAGCGCTCCGCGGCGGTCCTCCACGAACTTCAAGGGGGGGCCATTGACGGAGGAGGTGATGGAGGCCTGCTCCTGAAGAACCTGGACTTGGACCTCTTCCGTGAGAAGCTGCTGGACAAGCTGGGTGCGGACTGGGGGAGACCCACACCGGAGCTCCTCCAGGCCCAGACCACTGCGGAGGAGGCGAAAGCGAAACACCAAGCCAGACAGGCGAAGGGCTCCCTCGAAACCAGAATGCTCGAGCCCATCGCGCCTCCCTTCAGTGCGTGGCCTAGTGAGGTCCGGGTCGCCATTGAGACTGGGGTCTTCGAGCCGACAACGGCATGGAGGGACTTCAGTATGGACGACCTCACATCCCTCACGGACTCCTACCTTGAGGCCAAGGCGGTCATCTCGCTGGGTAGGAATCCCTGCCGGACCTGACAGGGATCCCCATGCCAAAGGCTGGTGCGGCGCGCCCAGGTGCCGAGGGCCCTGACAGGCCGCCCACCATCCCCCCAGCCTCGGGCTCTGGCGTGACGAGCTCAGGTGCCGAGGGCCCTGACAAGCCGTCCGCCACCCCGGTGGGCTGGGTCCGACGACCGGGCCCGGTACACGTCCCGGATTGGGCGAAAAACCTCACCAAGGTGAATCCGGAGGCGTTGGAGAAGGGTACGCATCCCAGGAACCACCAGGTGGGTGGACTCCCCTGGGCCAGGTACTCCGTTGATGAGTTGCACGATCCATCTTTTGGGCTGCCCCCCACGATCCGGATGAGGACTTCCACTGGACGCGTCCTGGACACTCCCAGGCGCCAGCTCTGGGGAGTCTGGGAGTCTCTGCCACTGCTGCAGGGCCCTAGGCAGCGGGGCCCGAAAAACAAGTCCCAGAATCAGACCCGCCTGGAGGGCTGGGAGACCCTGAAGGAGGACGCGCGGTGCTTCCTGAAGGAGGAGGGCCTTCCGTTTCCGCAGACAGGACCGGAGTGGCGATTGGTCTACCGGGCCATGGGCAAGGTCCTCGCGGCCCGGGCCTTCCTCACGGACACCCCGGCGGAGGTGATGCAGCTCCCGGTCCAGGACGTGGCGGACTCCAAGGAGCAGATGATCCTGCGGGCGGTATGCGACGAGCGCATCTCGGTCCCGGTGGAGAGCCTCCAGCAGTTCCCAGAGGTGTACAAGGCCCTCATGGACCGCATTGGAGGCCCGGGGGCCCTGGCGGAGGTGAAGGTCAACTGGCGCTGCAACACGAAGCAGTGGTGGGTCGGCGCAGTCCCCGACTCAGTGGCCCCCTCCATCTACCGCAACCCAGTCCTTCTTTAAGCGCTGGTTTCAGCACTGATTCGCGAATCAGCGCTGGTTTGACAAGGAAAAGTAGGGTTTTTGTGTCGGATCAGCGCTGATCCACTCGAGCAAGCGCTGAAACCTTCGAATAAGCGCCGGTTTCAGCACGGATTCGTCGAATCCACGCCAAGATGGCAAGGATCCAAGTTGACACTGATTCGACGAATCCTCGTCACGTGACAGGGCTTCGATGAGCCCTTGTTGGGTTGACACTGATTCGGCGGGTCAAACTGCAAACAAAAAACAGGAGCTTAAGCTTCCTTGGGCCTGCGAAGGGAATGCGTGATGAGTTAAATTTGACAATTTTGGAATGAGCAACATCAGTATTATTTTACATTAGCACGTGCGTGCTCTTGACCAATTGGCTGTGAGCATCCTGAAACTGATTCGTTTTGAAAAGAAGGCTGAGTTTGTGAGGACATGGACCATGAAAGGAGCTGCGGTGATGCAGGCGCACTTTGTCTATCGCGAGCGAGCTGCGCAGTCCTGCGCCCGGTCAATCCTGCTGCAAAAGTGGAACTTACGGAGCTGCCTCCTCTTCTTTTTTGTTTGCTTTTGCCACGAGCCCGCCAGGAAAAAGAGGTTGGGCTATTTTAGGCGGTCTCGCTTTCTCTTTCTCTTTCAGGCTCTCAAGAAGTTGTGCATCCTAACGTCAGTAGAGTATCCATCTTACCTCCATATATTTTCCTAATCCTTTCTCACATTAGGTGCCACAGGGTGGACAAGTTTATGCGCTAGACGCGGCAGAAAGTTTTGACTTCTGACAGCCGGAATCACGGCTTGTTGCGTCGGTTTGCTGTCCACTTAGGCCGCAGCCGTGAAGTGCGAAGGAGATGAAAAGGAAAGGAGCGCAGAGCTCCTCCTTGTGTTCCTAAAAGGAGAGAGAAAGAGAAAGAGAAAGAGAACGAAGAGAATAATACAGAAGAACAGCGGAAGAGGAAGAGAAAGAACACGAGCAAGACAAAAAGAAAGGTAGCGAGAAAAAGAAAGATAAAGAACAAAAGACAGAGAAAAAAGAGAAAAAGAGAAGGAGACAAAGAGAGAAAGAGAGAAAGAAAGACATAAAGACGGAAAGAAAGAAAGACAGACATAAAGAAAGAAAGCAAAGCAACAAAGACAGAAAGAAAGAAAGACAGAAAGAAGGAAATAAAGAAAGAAGGAAAGAACTAAATAATGAAAGAAAGAAAGAAAGAAAGACAGAAAGACAGACAGAAAGAAAGAAGTAAATGAAAGAAATAAAGAACTAATGACATAACGAAGGAACAAGGAGAACGACAGACAGACAAACAGACAGACAGAAAGAAAGAAAGACAGAAGTAAAGAAAGAAACAAATAAAGAACTAATGACATAACGAAAGCAAATGGCGAACGACAGACAGACAAACAGACAGACAGACAGACAGAAATAAAGAAAGAAAGAAAAATAAAGAAAGGGAAAGATAAATACATAATCATTTACAGAAAGAAAGACATAGCAAGGAATAAATAAATCAATAAAGAAAGAAAGACACAATCAATGAGTAAAGAAATGAATGAATAAACGAGAAATGTTTGAATAAAGACATGAATAAATACAATAAAGAAAGAAAGAACGGAAGACACAGAGAACGAGAGAAATACCAAGACAAAGAGAAAGAGAGATACAAAGACGAAGATAAAGAGAAAACGAGAGAAAGATAAAGATAAATAGAGAGAGAGAGAGAGAGAA